CAGAGTTTCTGTCACAGCAACCACGAGGGCGTGAGCGTAGAATGACCTGTTGTGTCTTAAGGCAGACGTGTTAAACGTGGTTTTACAATGCTAAGGATCTCTCCGATAGCCCTGAGTAAACACTCCCCACCCAACTACCCTCCACCCCACCCCTACCCTCCACCCCACCCCCCCACACACACACAACTCTTCCTCGAGATAAGGAAGAAATATTGTACAGCAATTGCCTCGAGCTAAATAGTTTGCAGCCAGTCTTCGCTTGAATAGCCGTCGTGATATGACTGGATTTAGGAACGCGGAGCAGTAGCCAGCGTTTCAAAGGATGGCCCGGTGCTGCGATCTCTATCACCATTAGGATTGCATGTTGTCAGACTAAACAACGAGCGAGCAAGGGGGGAACCTGGCTGAGTATCACAGCGGTCTGCACCGGCTGTTTTGTGAAACCTCATTGAAAGACTGTTATCTCCCCATCTGTTGTTTCACAGCCGTCACCCTTCTCCCATTGAACCCGTTAATCTAATCCAAACACGTTTTATCTGGCGGATTAGATTGTTCCCAGCGATGCTGACTGCCACTGTCAGGAGCCCGAGGGTTAATGTATTCGAGCTACTCGCTACGCGTTATAAGATGTGTAATATAATCCGTGAGTTTGATACTATATCACACCATTGAGACATCTCAAAGCGCTTCACGGTGGCGAAGCTTTTTGGTCGGACAACCAAAACACATTTTTTTTTAATTGAATTATTCATGGGTATTGTGGCTATTCATGGGTATTAACGACGTGATAATATATATCAAATGCAAGGATTATTCTTATATTTATGACATAGTCAACCAACAAAATTACGTGTGCAAAGCGCCTTTCACGTCGAGAGGACGTCCCAAGGCTGGACAGTTAGTGTTTTGGACCCAAGCTGGGGGTCGGGATTCGGGAGGTTGGGGGGCAGGGGGGTGGGAAGCAGGGTGATCGAAAGCACAGTCGAAGAGGAGGGTCTTGAGATGGGTCTTGAAGGTGGCAACTAACACCCCTAGATGTCCCTCAGCACCCACTTTGACAAGTTCTATCCCAGCCATGGAGTCCATTTGTTTTGCATTCTTACTTAATGTTGTTGTTGTTGTTACTTCCGACACTGTACCTTGCAATTATCATTATCGTTAACTATGATGTCCTGACACTTATCACAAGTTGTTTTCAGAAGACAGGAGAGAGAATGTAGAACTCTACAGCGATAGATGCCTCGGACAGGGTTCAGAGTGGTCTCGAGTTGGCATAGGATCTATCTATAAAATATGCTAACAGTTGAGGTGGAGTGAGTTATGGGCTGTAATACAATCCAAGGTTTTGGATGATCCCAAGCCTCATTTTCTATATCATAAGAACCACTCAATCATGTCACAGTGTTGACCACCTTCCAACCCCAACAACTGATGTATTTGTAATGAATTAGATGCTGTAACAACAGGGTGTAGCTGTGAATCTGTAAGAAGCACTGATACCACGCAACATTGACATTGGTTACGGAGAGGACAGAAAGCGCTGGGAAATCAGTCCCGAGACGAAGCCTTCCCGTGACTTATTGTCCTGGCCAGCAAATCCCCCAAATAAAACTGGTCACTTACTCCATGGCTGTTTGTGTGACATTGCTGAGTGCAAACTGGCCATCATGTTTTGCCCACAAAATACAGTCAATCCACTTTACAGTATATCCTGTGAAGTGCTCTGAGATGTCTCGATAATGTGATAAGGTGCTGTATCAAATGAAAAGATTATTATTATTACCCACCCTCTGCTTTTGAATGTCTAGGTACAAGGGACTAGAGGTGACACTGACAGGGAGAGAGATCTACTCTTAGGAGGAGCGAAGTGCGAGGTTTCACTATTCCGTGGAGTCCTGTAATAATAATAATCTTTGCGTTTGATATAGCAGCTTATCACGTCTTCGAGACGTCTTTGAGACTGTAGCTCAGTGGTTAGACCACTCGCCTTGCAAGCGAGACACCTGGATTCGATTCCCAGCAGGGCAAAACGTTGGGCATGTTTCCTTACTCCACACACCACTGTTTACACCAGTTGTTAATTGATTGGCGGATTCCTTTCCTGGGCGTAACAATTCCTTCAAAAAATAATAATAACGATAATAAATCAGTCACTCAATCCACAGCGATTCACAGTTTGTGGGACGCTGCTGGGGGCAATTGGCTGCCGAGTTTCTCCCACAAACACAGGGGTCAGTTCACTTTACAGTGTATTCTGTGAAGCGCTTTGAAACGTCTCGAAGACGTAATAAGGCGCTACATCAAATGCAAGGCTTATTATTATTGTTATTATTTGTAGAAAAGATGGCAGCTAATTTATTTATTATTATTCACATTCTGCACTCGAGTCAGGTTCTAGGAAGATCGCTGGTGTCCGAGGCTTAAGCTTGATATCTGGAGAGCGCCCAGCTGTTGAAAGCAAAAACCACAGCATCAATAGTTCATCCCCATTGCTTTTGTGCGTAAAGAAAGCGGGTGCAATATGATCAGTGACACCCGCGCAGCATGTTATAACAGTGGCAGTCGCTGGGAGTAAGTAAGCCTGGCTCAGTTGGTAGCTCTCTCGTTTCTGAGTCAGATGGTTGCCAGGACTTGACATGGAGGCTTGAACCCACAACCAGATAGCGTCACACAGCGCAGTAAAATCCCGTGAAGCGCTTTGGAGATGTCCTCCAGACACGAAAGGATTATTAGTAACAGCGACTATGTTATTCGCTGAGAATACCATCGATAATTATTCAATAAACAATTCAATTTGGACAGCCCCCCTGCTCCCCTCCCCGACCCCCCCCCCCCCACCCAGCTCACAGACAGACACTTATTCTGCCCTCACCCTTTGGAACTCCATCCCACCTTCCCTTCGCCTCGCTCCCTCCCTCGCCTCCTTCAAGGCGCGGCTCAAAAGCCCTCCTGTTCGACCGAACCCTCGGCCACCCTCCTGCCCTCCACCCTCCTCGATCCCGACCCCCAGCTCGGATCCAAATCCCTGACCGACCAGCACCTTGGGACGTCCTCCCGGCGCGAAAGGCGCTGTACAAATGTAATACTGCATCGTATTGCTGCCTCGCACAAAGGCTCATTTTGTGCGGCTTATAGAAAACTCCCTCTTTGGTTCCAATGAAACGTTTCTATTCCCCATTCTGTCCCCTTCCTCCTCCAGCTGGGAGAGCTCGCACGCGGGTCCCAGTGGCCATTGACACCGTTTGTCCTCAGTGCTGTGGGTGAGACTAGCAGGCGGTGTGCGGCCAAGGGGAAAGCTGGGCACCGAGCCACTGCGAGTGAATGAGACGAAGCTCGTCAGCGGAAATTGGCCCGGCAATAGGCCAGTCCTCAGCCTTGACCGTAGCTCTGCTCTGCAGAGGACGCAGAGCCGCTCTATGACACGCCAACCCCGATTTTTGGGGGGATGGTTTTCACGTTCAAGCCCCTGGTAAGGTCGAAACGGCCCAGTGCGCTTCACAAGGAGTTACCTTCGAGTGTAGTAACTGTAATAAGCAGTAAGCAATAATAATAATAATCCTCGCATTTGATACAGAGCCTTATCACATTGTCGAGACGTCTCAAAGCGCTTCATGGAATACACTGTAAACAACAACAACAAAATTACATTTATAGAGCACCTTTCATGTCGGTAGAACGTCCCAAGGTGATGGACAGTCAGTGGTCAGGACCCGAGCATGGGGGAGGGGTGGGGTAGGGGTCAGACCGGCCTTGAAGGAGGCGAGGGAGGAAGTGAGGCGAAGGGACTGTAGGATGGATTTCCAGAGTGTGGGGGCAGAGAGGCTGAAAGCCCGGCCACCGATGGAAGGGCGGGTCGGACAGGAGACATGGAGCTCAACGGAGGCAGCAGGCAGGTTGGTAGGGAGTCAGCAGGTCAGAGAGGTAGGAGGGGGCAAAGCCATGGATGGCCTTGAAAGTGAGGACTAGGATCTTGAACTCGATCCTCTGAGGGATGGGGAGCCAGTGGAGTCGGGCGAGGGTGGGAGTGATGGGGTCAAGGAGCCTGGTGCGTGAGAGTACAAGAGTTGCAGAGTTGTGGATGATCTGCAGCTTGCGAAGGGAAGAGTTGGAAAAGCCGATAAGGAGGGAGTTCCCGTAATCGAGCCTTGATGTGTCGAATGCGTGGGTGAGGGTTTGGGCAGCCTGAGGGGTGAGGCGGTGATGGAGTCTGGCAATGTTGCGGAGGTGTTGGTAGGCAGTGCTGATCATGGCGCGGATGTGGGGGAGAAAGGACAGTTCAGGGTCAAACAAGACACCCAGGTTCTTGACCGGCTTAGTGAGGTTGAGTGTGCAGCCGTGGAGGCCGATGCTGCCAACGCCTGAGGTGTGGAGGCGTAAAGTGGATTGACTGTATATTTTGTGGGCAAAACGTGGTAACCCATTGCGCACAGCTGTAAGCGCTATTCCCTTAAGACCTGCCGCATTTTAAATAAGTGAAAGTTTTTGTCGCTTTATTCTTTAACTAAGGTTCCTCATTGTTACATACAGACCAGACCAGATATTTCCTCATTGTAATAATAATAATCCCGGCATTTGATATAGCGCCTTATCATGTCTTCCTGACGTCTCAAAATGCTTCACAGAATGCACTGTAAAGTGAATTGACTGGATATATTGTGTGTGAAAGGCGGCAGCCAATTGCGCACAGAGGCGTCCCACAAACAGTCGTGGATTGAGTGACCAAATCATTCTTATTTTTCGTTGAAGGGATTATTACTCCTGGAAACCGATCGACTTTAACAACCGGGTTCCTACTTACTGCTAGATACACAGAGGCATGTGGAGTCAGGAAACCTGCCCAAGGTTTCACCCGGCCCAGGAATTGAACCCAGATCCTCTCGCTTGTGTGGCGAGTACTCTAACCACTATGCTACAGGACTTCGCAATATCAGGAGCCGGTTTGCGCTCAGCCACAGATCAGGCCCTTCTCATCATTGAACTGATTTCTGTCTCTGTTGCAGAGTGCTACACTGTCACCGGTGCTGATTACAGAGGCTTTCAAAATCAGACCTCCCAGCAGGGGGGAAAGCCCTGCTTATATTGGAATGAAACCTTCCAACACCCTTACAACACCAACAAGTACCCCAACGGAGAAGGAGGCCTGGGCAACCACAACTACTGCAGGTAATGGATACTTTACAGTTCCTTACTGCTAACGGTTACATTGGCGGCTTGTCATAGAATCATGACGCTAATAATAATGATAATAATAATCCTTGCATTCGATACAGCCAGCGCCTGATCACGTGGTCGAGACGTCTCAAAGCGCTTCACAGGATACACTGTAAAGTGAATCGACTGTATATTTTGTGGGCGACTATACAGGCGATTCACTTTATATTCTGCCAAGCGCTTCGAGACGTCTCGACGACATGATAAGGTTAATCACGTGACGAGGGATAATCATAGAATCCTACAGCACAGAAGGAGGCAATTCGGCCATCGTGCCTGTGCTGGCTCTTTGAAAGAGCTGTCCAATTAATTAATCCCACTCCCCCGCTCTTTCCCCATAGCCTTGCAAGGTTTCTCTTTTCAAACACATATCCAATTCCCTTTTGAAGCTGATACTTTTGATTAAATCTTGTGTGTGTGTGTGTGTGTGTTTAACCAATTGTCAAGCTGTTTGTTCCAAGCTGTGTTTTTTTTTGTGTGTTGGAAGGAATTCAGCCACTACCCCCTGAAACTCTGGAGCACTCTCGCTCACTCCCTCCGCATTGCCCTGACCTTTCTCCCAGCTAGGCGTCGTGCTCCGCCACTATCAAGTGCTCTGGGACACTACCCTGCTTGAGGGACACTATATTAATGCAAATTGTTGTTGCAGGAAAGGCAGGGAAAACAGAGAGAGAGAGAGCGAGAGACTCCTTTTCCGAATTGCCTTAATGTAGCTTTCATAATGAAATGGCTTCTGAATTGCTGGCAAAATATAACGATGTGCGTATGTGTGTGTGTGTGGGGGGCGGGGAGGAGGATTTAACTCTTATGAAGATGGGGAGGAAGTTTCTCTATTCCGCATTTTGGCTGGGTTTCAGGGGAGGGCAGAGTGCTGAAGTTAGGAGTCAGTCAGTAATGTGCTTTGGGCTGTTTTCCCAGAGTTTTCTGTTGAAACCAATTAGACCAACGACACTCAGAAACGGGAGGAAGGTTCCAACAACTGTTTCTGATGAAGGTTGAGTAACAACCCATTGCCATTCATCAATCCACTTGCTACAGCATTCCAATCAATTAGAACTGCACCATTACCTCTCGTTGGTCTGTCTGACAGTTGCGACTGTGATATTCAGACGCCTATAATTACACCAGACATGACATTACCAGCAGGAAATATTTTTAAACGTCTTCTGGAAAGAATGTCAAGTTTTGGGACATTGACTGCCTAGCACTGGCTGATAGTCAATGCGATGATGAATGACACTCACAAGTCCATCTGCTCTTCATGTGAAGATACTTTTTAGTGGGAAACAGCCACGTAGAAGGTTCGATCTCCCACTATTGCAAAATGGGCGGTGTAATAATAATAATAATAATGAGCTTCTGTGTAGGGGAAGGGGTAGTGGTTGAGCTGGTTTAGTAGATCTCAAAGACAATGGACATGGAGGGAAAAGTCAGTTTTTTTTATTAATAATAATAATAATCCTTGCATTTGATACGGCGCCTTATCACGTAGTTGCGACGTCTCAAAGTGAATTGACTGTATGTTTTGTGAGCGAAACACAGTAGCCAATTGCGCACAGCGGTGTTCTGTCCAGCTGTGGAAATAATAATAATAATAATCCTTGCATTTGATGTACGATATATTTCGTCTAGATGTCTCAAAGCGCTTGACAGGATATACTGTAAAGTGTAGTGACTGTATATTTGTGGGTATTGTGGTATATTTCTTGACGGATTATTATCAGGCGTGTGGAGTAAGGAAATTTGCCCAAGGTTTCGCCCTGCCGGGAATCGAACCCAGGTCTCTCGCTTGCCAGGCAAGTGTGCTCTAACCACTGAGCTACAGGACTCCCCATAAAATAGATAAAGGGATAATCTATAGGAATCGCTAAAAGATTACTGAGCCATTCACTGCCCTATGTTTTCGGCACAGAACAATTATGATAATTCTCATTCAAAAAAAATCTGCCAGCCCAGGGTCATTGCGTCACTGCAGAGGAAGCGAGCCGCTCGGTTACCATTACTCTGGCGAGGCTCTCCAGCTCCAGAAAGCGTGCGAGAAGTCGGCCTATATGTGCCAAAAGTGTCCTGCATTTCCAGTCCGTAGCACACCCACGTTACAATAATCCTTGCATTTGATACAGCGCCTTATCACGTCTTCGAGACGTCTCAAAGCGCTTCGCGGGATATACTGTAAATTCGATTAACTGTGTAGTTTGCGGGCGAAACGCGGCAGCCAATTGTGCACAGCAACGTCCCCACAAACAGCCGTGGATTGAGGTGACCAATTTTTAAAAAAAAAAAATTTTTGAAGGAATTATTGCCCCCGGAACAGCGATCCACCAATCGACTAACAACCGGGTTCCTACGAGTCCGAGGTGACGCTCCAATACAGTGCTGGGGATGTGCTTTATTGTTAGAGCCACCGTTAAACTGAGGTCCTGTCTGCCTGTTCAGTTGGACGTTAAAGATCCCAGCGGCAACGTTCGAAATCCGAAGGTTTCCCATCCGACAATCCCGCAGATAAAATCGACCATTCGCCTACAGAAACCCACAGTCACTCCACTTTACGGTAAATCCTGTGAAGCGCTTTGAGACGTCCTCTAAAAGGTTCCTTTGAGACGTCCACGTAAAAGGCCCCGTGTAAACGTAAAATAAATTCATCCAAAGTTCATGCCTTTGAACTTGTAATAAGAGGAAAAATAATCCTCGCTTCACGGAATATACTGTAAAGTGGAGTGACTGTGTGTTTTGTGGGTGAAACACTCAAATGGATAACTTAACAGGTCTCCTCTCAACCTCCTCTGTTCCAGTCCCCTTTCCTTGCAGCCCCTCTCTCCTCATCAATAAAACACCTCATGCTTGGCATCACTCGAGTGAATTTTCTCTGCGCTCTCTCTACGACATGTGTGACTGACAAATTTGCCAATTTCCATATTTATGCATCAGTGCCTAATAACGCATTGAGCTGCTGAATTAGATACAAATACTGGGCCTTAGTACAATGAGGTCGTAACAAACACGATTGCTGCTATTAACATTCAGACCTAAAGCCTTGTGCGAAGACTTTGTAACAATCATTGTTAAAATTCAGAACCTCTTTAATGTTTTAGGTTGATGGCAAATCAACCGCCCACGTAATGTGTGCGTATCAAACAATATTGGCTTTTCTATTAATATTCATAGGTTTTTATTTATTGCTGCTTTTAATAATGGACGAGAAGTACTGTTGCTTCATCACCTGAATAACAATATCCCCCGTGTGACTGTAATTTGGATTTATCTGGTCTCTCGTGAGTATAAAAGAACATAGCAGCAGTACTATAGTTGGGAATTATTCCAACGGTTCACTCAATTACGTGTATTTGATCCGCTTAAGCTCAATTGCAATCCGCTTTGGTGGATAAGGATTTGATGAGGTTTTAGAAATCGAGGTAAGGGACAAGTTGGGTGGCCTGATTTGACACCCGCTCAGACCTCAGGGCTTTGCCTAGAAGACGTGATAAGGCGCTATATCAAAAGCGAGGATTACTGTTATTATTGTGGCCCTACAGGTCCTCTTTGCTCGCAGACTGGGGCTCATTTGGCTTTTTTAACTATGCAGTTATGGGAGGATGGTATATTCTGTGAAGCCCAATGAGAGGTCTCGGAGACATGATAAGGCGTTGTATCAAATGCGAGGATTATTATTTTATTATTGTATATTGCTGTCAGTAAGCAGCCTGGCAGAGTTCCAGGGTGGTTGTTTAAACACTCCGGCTTCATAAAGGTGGCTTTTATGTGGTTAAGGCAGCCCTCGCTCTCAGAGACAAAGAGAGGAAACGGGCAGAAGGTTCGCGTTTCTTGCCAGCGTTTGGCAAACAATGGGCCTGTTGGTATCGGCGACGCTTGGCAAACAAATGATTTAATAAGCTCAGGTATACGCCGGTGACTGAGATAAACAGTGCTCTGTGTACTTTGTGGTGGGCGTTTGCACGGCAGTTTTACCATGCCCTGTCTGCACTTGCCAGAATTCCTCTGTTGCCACTATCGGCAGGTTCCCACACTGAGGCGTGGAACAAACCGTCCTGTGCTCCCTGGTGACACAATGAGGGAAGCCCTGGGATCGGAAAATAATTATAATCCTTGCATGTGATGTAGCGCCTTCGAGACGTCTCAAAGCCCGTCACAGAATACGCTGTAGAGTGAATCGACCGTGTATTTTGTGGGCGAAACGCGGCAGCCATTTGCCCATCCTTTATTGATCTAATACTGGGGTAGAACTCCATCCTACAGTCCACTTCGCCTCACCTCCTCCCTCGCTTCCTTCAAGGGCTCGTCTCCGAACCCTCCTCTTCGACCGCACCTTCGGTCGCCCTCCACCCCTCCTGATCCCAACCCCCAGCTCGGGGCCAAATCCTTGACCATCCAGCACCTTGGGGACGTCCTCCTGAGTTGTTGTTGTCTGTGTGTGTGTGTGTGTGTGTGTTCATTTGGGAGCTCAGTATATGGGTGAGCACTTTCATTGAGTCCTAAATGGTGTAGGAGATCTCCTTTAGGTGTCGAGTCTAGTTCTTTAAGACTGGACAACACAATAGTCTATTGAGCCCTGGAGGGCAACACAAACCAACCTAATCTTGTCCTTCAGAGGACAGGGAAAGGGGGGGAAACAGGATTATTGTCCCCTCACTTGATAACGATATGCATATCTGTCCAGCCAGGGTCACCCGATAGCGATCAGACACAGGATGCTCCCTGGGCTGATGTTTTTATTTTGCATCCTCCCTAACCCAGGAGCGATTGCAGTGTGTAATTGTTCCCCAGAGGAGCGCAGGCAGCCCAGCACCCACCAGGAAATGAGCCCGTGACCTTCGGGCCTGCCTTTGCTCACGGCTTAGGCAGTGTTTGGGGGAAGCGCCCGTTCGAGCGGGTGCTAAAGATCCCTCGGCGCTATTCGCTGAGAGAGGCGAGTCTCTCTCGCTGTTTTTGAAGGA